AAGTTAATGAAGTAAATTAGAAGTGAATCGATTCTCTTACATAAACATTGGGAATATTATAAGCTAAAAGTTTCCATAATTATAATTGTAAAATTATAAAACAAATTATTTCTTACTTGGACAAGGTGTTGTAGTGGTTGTTGTTGTCGTCGTCGTCATCGTAGTTGTACTTGTTGTTGATGTTGTGGAAGTGCTGGTTGTTGATGTTGTGGTGGTGCTGGTTGTGGTACTTGTGGTTGATGTTGAAGTGGTCGTCTCTGGGGTTGTGCTCGTGCTCTCTTTAATTTAGAATTTAGTTAATTTCCATATATCTATTATTTGGTATAATTGTTAATTTATTCCAGCTCTTTCGTTATATAAAAAAATTAGCCTGAATTAAAAGTTCCATCAAGCATAATTTTTATTTCAAACCCACAAATTTTCAATCGATTTTTCAAATATTTTAAGTCATTTTGAGCTGCTTACATGTGTATATATTTATTTCATCTTATACCTGTAGTTGAAGGGTTTGTGATCTCTGTAATTTTATACGTAGTAGACGTAATTTCAGTTTGCGCTTCAGTGGCTAGTGAGATAGGATCTGTTGGAACACTTGTATCAATATTTGTGGTCACCTCTTCACTCAAAGTAGTTTGAGGTTCTTGTGTCGTTAGTTCCTCAATTTTTGTAGTCATCTCAGGATTCCTACTTGTTTTGTAAAATTTTGGTTTTCAAATTAAAAAAAAAGTTACGTCGATGGCTCATTTGTAGATTCTAACTGTCCAGTTACCACTTCAACTATAGTCAAATTTTTAACAGCAGATTTAAATGGCGTTGTTGTCGTTGACATCCGCTTGCCCCCTACGCATTTATTTCGACCACAGCATTTAATAATTTCTAATCGTTGCTGCTTTCTTGAAAATTTTATGATCAATTTTGTATACGGCTTTACTCTATATAGCGCTTTGGATTGGGTTTCTTCTCCTGTGTTAATTTTAATGCTTAAATTATTGAAATTTGAACAGAAAAATGAAGTTTTTTTTCACCATTGTTATTCAATGTGTCGCAATCGTCAAACAAAATAGACAGTACATAGAGTGTTATGAAAATAGCCTGCCAAGAGAAAAATATTGTTTTTGGAATTAAATTTTCAATTTTAGAAAAAAATAATAAGCTTTTTCAAAATTTAACTCACGAAATAAGCGAGCCTTATTTGTGCCATCAAAACGGTGTCATGATATGGGAGTTTAGTTTTCAACTGTTGATAGGAAAGCGCTTCCGATTGGCAAGTTTTAGGCGCACTTGTTTATATTTTGATCACGTCCGTCAGCAACAGAATATTATTCTGTCATCCTCATACCCCGTTAATTTCTAAATGATTAAGAAAACAGACATTGAGCCTGAAATATCTAATCTAAATGCATGATAATTGAGGTATTTTTAATACTTATGCCTATTTGCATTGTTTTGCATTATATTTTATTTCTATTTCTGGGGGAAGCAAATTACTGTGATCTTCGAGAAGTTAGTAAATTAAAATTTTATTTATCTAATATTTAATCAAGAAGATGCTGTTCATAATAATTATTTATTACATTATTTTTTGCTTAAATCTCAAACAATAGATTTTAAAGCAGACACTGCCAGAGTTTTGTCAAAATTTGTGAATTTCAATATTTTTGTTTCCGTTGTGATCTCTAGAGAGAATTTCATGTCATTTGATTTCCTGTGAAAAAGGTGGGCTGATGTTACTATGGATCGCGTGACATAAAGCGTCATTTGGGATTTTTCAAACTTTCAGTGCCATTAATCAAATTCCAAATTCATAGTTTTACTAATTGTTAGTCCATCATAATATTTTTTACTTTCTTATTATTTTGTAATGAGAATTTAGCTTGTACACAAAATATTGAGTCATAATTTTTACAAAAAGACAATAACTAGGTCATTATACAAATATCAGAAGAATATTACTCTGTGAAAAATCATCCAGAAATTTCCACTCGTGGAATTAATGCTGAAGTTTCAAAGGTATTATTGATTGCTCTCATTAGAAAGGACACCTTTCCATGCTGCACGTCCAGTAAAATTAAGCGGCATCGATAATAACGTAGTGGACACTCATTACAGCTGCAGTTATTTTTAGTCCTGCATTCATACGCGCGGATTGTGCATGCTCATTAGTTTGCCTGTCATCTCGAGGTAACAGCTCAATTATCGATCAATCCCTTGGCCATTCTGCACCTGCAGAATCATAATTTATGGTGCATTCGCCTACTTATTAGTTCCATTTGCAACTTGAAAATGCATATTCACTTGACGTTGATAAATTGGGAACTGCTGAGAGAGTGCAGAAATAAATAATTTATGGGAAATGCCTTAGCTGATTCTTTTTGCAATAGCTAAAAGTCATTAAAAGTAATATATAAAACTAAGCTCATGGTTATCTACAAATTAAATTAAAGGGAAATTTTTTAATTTATTTTAACATTTTTTTATTTTTCTTAAATTTATTGCGCCAGCTGCTGATTGCAGAACCTCATCTGGGATATATTGTGCGAAAGTGAGAGAGTGATGACGTAAACTGGCAAACTGGCAAAACTTGAGAAGCATCATTCTCTCGCACATGCAGGGCTCTCTCTCTCTCTCTCTCTCTCTCTCTCTCTCTCTCTCTCGCGTGGAGCAACAACAACAAAAGCAACATCATTACAACACATCCTTCCTGCCGTATTCCATTTAAACTTTTTGGATATGGCTGCTGTTGGTGGTGGGTCGACGCCGTCGTCTTCGTCTTCGTCTTCTTCTCTTCTCCAAGAAGTGAGTGCGCCAACAACAACTTTGCCTGCCCCGCTGTCTTCAAGATGGCCTGTAATAATAATGATGTTAAAACTGTAAACACCATTAGACCAAACAAAACCCTTTTCAGGCTCGCAATAATGCTGTGTTGGTGCCGGAGCCGCCGCTGGGCGAGGGGACGCCTGTCTGCGTATGCAACCTCCAAAACTGCGGCCCGCCACCCCTTCCTCGCCCACCCACTCGCCTTACTCAAATGTGCCAAAAACAGAAGTAGTGGTTTGTAATGAAATTTCTGTGTGATTTTTTTCCGAATCTATTTTTTACAATAAACGAAACCCTGAAATTGTTACGTCATGAAAACTCCAAAATTAAAGTGTAACTAATTTATCAATTTATTTTGTATAATAAATCAAAATAATTTAATATCTAATATTAAAATTTTCAATGACACGAGCTCGCAACCTCAACTTTTGTTGAGTGCTGCTTTTGTAAATTTGCTGAATTAACGTAATATTTCAAATGAAACTGGTTAAAAAGTTATTTCCCCTTGGCGGCGTGTCTCACAAGAAATAATAAAACGCCACAAAGAGCCGTAAAGTAATTGAATGAGGCGCGCTCACTCTTTAAGAAGAAGTTACGAAATTATTTTCGGCGCCGCGAGAAAGAGGAGGGTTGGTCGGGGGCGCGAGGGCGGAATTTCGCATGCACACTCACATATTTTAATTGTGTCTGCAGCTCCACCTGCGTGCCTGATAAATCCTCCATTTTTTGCCCCGGGGCGGAGTTCAAGGCTTTCGCAGCCGAGAGAACAAAAGTGAAAAAGCAGCAGCGCCGCCAGTTAAAGCAACCGAGCTCTTTCCCGCGCCAACTTTTTGCCGTGCAATTACAATGTAATTAATTATGCAACTCGGCTGCTTTTGTGCGGCAGCGAGTCGAGCGCGAACGCGGCAAGAAGCGAGAGTGTGCACAAAAGAAGAGCAGCAGCCAAAGTTGTGAACTTGCGTCGTCACACCCGCAAAAGTATTCCGGGCCCTACATACATGCGCACCCACCTCGCCTTATTATTATTCTGAATAATCAAGCTCGCGAATTGTGAGCGTGAAAAGGCACTCGCAAAACTCGTTAAATAGGGTAAAAAGAGGTGACAATATAAGGAGTTAAAAACCTCAAAACTTTTGTACCAAATAATAATTAGTTCAGAAATAATGAAAAATTTATGGTTTTTGATTGTTCTAATTTAGTTGCATTTTTAATTCCGAAAATTTAAATAACGTGACTGACTTAAAATGCAATCTTTGTAGTAATTTGCAAATCATTGGCAAGCGTGATAAGCGGTTAATTTTTTTGTAACATTATTCATCTGCATTATTGATGACCAATTTTAATGCTTTTCCAAATTTAAGAAACATGTTAATTTTTTTTTGGAGGACGAGGTTTTGCCAAAATATTTTGTTATTATTATACAATTTAATTTTATGAACATCATTTTGTTTTAGCTCGGATAAATACAACGATAGTTTCAAGATATATTGCTATTTCTCTTTAATTTAAATTAGTTTTGATGTTTATTGAAGGTTTTCTTTCTTTGCGGTTGCTAAGTACGCACGTGCTATAGAAGATTTTTTTTGTAACAGAGTACATTATATTTGTCCTGCGGAGTTGTCTCTCGCGTGAGTTGGTGTCTGGTGGTGTGTGCGCAAGCAGAAAGAGGTCTTGTTGGGACGCAATGAGGCGAACGGCGCGGCCCACGAGTGAGTTGATTTGGCCACTCAACCAGCCACTCGATCGCCACTCAGCCACATACGCGCACTTTATGCTTGCAAATTTTATTTATGCTACTCGCTGGACGCTTCGGAGCTCGTGGCGATTTGCGAACCGTCATGCGGAATAATGCGACCACACAACCGGCACACATATCGCGCCGCGCACAGTCTCGATGCTCCCAAAAAACGCATTAGTCTGATTTTCCGTAATTATCAATTGTATCCAACTTTGAAACTGTTTAATTTGATTTCAAATCTTTGTCTTGAAAATTACCGTTTATAATATTATAATGAGACAACGATTTATATGTACCAATTATAATGATCAATTATCCATTTTTTTTTTTTTTATAAACACAATTTAATCTACAAATTTTTTTAAGTATTTGTTTAATAGCATTTTGATATTAATCTTTACAGAGAGAATGTCATGCAAATTTTATGTTAAAATCATTTTTACGAGTCAGTCACTTATTCCAATTGAATAATTGGGAAAATTTTTGTTGATTAAATGAACGACGATCCTTCGCAAACGTAGTAAGTTGCTGCTGTGCAAGGTAGATCAAACCAAGCATTTTGCCTGTGAAATATCAATGGCATCAATTTAATGGATATAATATTGTTTTGATAAAAAAAAATTAATAAAAAAAATCAGTGCAATGATTTAACTCACCATATAATACCACATCGCTCACTAGGGTATTGCGCAGGCTCTCTTGGTGCCCATGACTTGTAAGTTGAATTTGCACCATTGGCCCAGTGGTCATAAAAAGTTTCGTTTATGCAGTTGAGTGACATCCACACATAGTTTCCTTGAAGACCTTTGGGTGAAAGCTTCATTATTAAATTAAAATAAAATCAAAATTTTATTATTCTTACCTGCTGCAGCGACGAGTGCACGGACGCAAGCATCTTCCTCTGGAGTTTCCAAGCTGACAAGTTGCATTCCAAACTTATCACATTCGTCTCTAGCGCCTTGCCATGTTTTCTATTTCTTTATTTGTTACCGTTTTGTATTATATGTATTTAATAATTCTAAAATACTATATCTTTAGTCAGCATGTAAGTTGAACTCGCTGTGGAATTTTAGGCAAAAGAAGTAAAAGGAAATGAAAACTGTTGGGTAATTACTTGCTGGACAACTCTTGGATGTCGTGTTTATGGTGGTAGAATTCTCGCAGGCAAAATAGCTGAGGTCGGTGCATCTCTTGTTTTGCCACTTTCCATTTCTAAAACACTAAAAGTAAAGAAAGGAGTCAAAATATTAAGCCCCTTTTACATACACCATTTGAACACAGTATTCCTGCGCGCCTCCTCCAGGAAAGTCCTGGTCCCATGAAGTGAATCCTGGATCTTGATCATTGGTCCACTGAAAGCTCGTTTTCCTGATTGCGTTCAAGCCAATCCAGAATCTGTCTCCAATCCTGCCTTGATAGTGCAACATGATTTTTTGATGCAACGTATTTGTGCTCAGAAATACTTTGATTTCGCACATATTCCAAAAAACACTGCTCTTCTGCCTGTGTTTCAAGGTTGACCAAATCCTTCCCCATCCTGTTGCAATCAAGCCTTGCACTTTCCCACGTGGTCTATTTTTTATATGATAATTGATAATTTATAGCTAGTTTTCCAACTTATGTTATTGAATTACCAAAGATTTAGAAATTGTGTATGCTGAAAAAGAAAGTTAAAGAAGAAAAAAATGTTTAAAAATATTTTACCACCACTCGCACAAGTAGGTGGAGTTGTGGTTGTGGTTGTTGTGGTGGTAGTTGAGGTTGACGTTGTGGAAGAACTGGAAAATGTGGTAGTTGAAACTCCTGGGGAAGTAGCGCCAGCAACCAGATTATTTGAAGAAGAACTCCCAGTGGTCACTCCTCCCGTTATTGGCCCAGAAGATGTTCCGATGTTACTTTGAATCCCATTTACTGCCGAGGAAGTTTGTCCCGGACTTCCCAATAGAATCTGTGAGTTAACTGCAGCAGTCGCGGTGTTCAATAAACTATCTATCAGTGATGTGGCTAATGGAGAATATTCCTGTCCGGCAGGTAATGTAGCTGTAGATGCTCCATTAGAACTCGCTGCAAAGTTCTGATTTGTGACAGATTGTGAGCTGGAGCTATTGGTATCTATCATAGACTTGACTGAACCATTGTCTGTGGTGCTTGTAAAACTGATTGATTCTGATGACGAGCTATTTGCTACAAATTTTAATAATAATTTTTATTGATCAATAGAAAACAGAAATTTTACCATCAGCGCTTAGATATTATTGGAAATTTTAGGTAATCAATTTTTTGTTCATTTAGTAAGGTGCAGCTTACGGATTTTGGGTGCTGCCTAATATATCGGTGCTAGATTGCTCATTTGGTATATTAGTTCCTGTTTCAAAATTTCCACCACTTGATATAGTTTTTGATTGCACAGTTATTGATATTGATGCTTCTAGATTACTCTGGTTGCTTGGTTTCATCGATTTTGATGTTACGGGATCACAAGAGTGTCGTCCACAACATTTTATAATTCTTGATCTCCAACTTTTTAAATGAATTCTATATGCGAAAATGGAGTTTGTAAGAACCATCTTTGTTTTTGGAGCACCATCGGAAGACGCCAGTACAATGGTATCTGACATTTCTAAAATAGTAATAACAAAAACAATTTAATTGGGCAGCTTTTACCCTTTTGCTGAAGACCGTTTAAATTTTCAACCAAAGCCAATAACGTGCTCAGCCTGATGAAACAAATCTGTAAGAATTTCATATAATCTCATGAGAATAAAAATTTAATTCAATTTTTTTACCCACACGGTTGGCTGTAGCAGCATTTTGCTGCTGCTGGCTCTGGCTTCTCTGTATTGGGATTTTTGGCGTATATTTGTTATTTGTCAAAATTCAAGCGTGGATTCCCACCAGAAGTCAAATAAAACGTCACAAGGTCGTGCGGTTATACACATAATCAGCACATAAATTTTTAGTAATAAGAACTATGCCTATTAGAAACAGTGGAAATCGCAGCAGATGAAAACTAACAATAAAATTGTAAAAATTATTATTTATATTATTTTTTATAAATTTTTATATTTATAAATATCAATTAAACAAAAAAAAAAAGGATAAAATGTAAAAATCAACCTTTATTTTATTGAAATTTATAGATTTCCGTGTGTTTTGCAGTGTTTTGTGTGTTCCATCCATATGAACTTTAGTGGCCCTATTTAAAAATAAATGACAATTATATGTATATATAAAATAACACTCATTGATCATTATAAGTAAAAAAAGCTTTCACCGTAAAATAAACAATTAAACCATATTGGTTGTAAATATTTGACACACAATGCAAATAAATAGTAAAATATAATTATAAATAAAAATATGGCTCAGGATTATACACGCGTGCGTCCGACACGCTGGTGCCAGACCAGTTACAGCAGGTGAAACGGGAAGTGCCGACTAGGTATAAGTTGATCCTTTTCTCTCTCATCGACGGACCCTTCAATTATATTATTCGCATAGTGAAATTACTCTCCCAGCAGCTTTTCCGTGGTGCGTGCATATTATACACTGGGTCGTCTCAGTCAGGGGCTGTCAGGGCTTGATTTATGGCCGGCGCTGCGAACGCCCTTATTAAATGTCATTTCGCCAAATTCAGACGTAGTAATTTGCCAAGCTCGTAACTCACCTCAGGCTCGCGGTCAGTCCGTGCGCCCTGCTTTAAATACATACGTCAGCGGCAAGCGCGCCCGACCGCCTCAAGGAAGGTCATTTTGCCCGGCGCCCTCAAAGTGAGTTACGACCCTCGTTGCCCGCCAATCATCGAAAGGTGCTGCTATTTTCCCACAATTAGGGATGCTGCATCCCTTGTTCCTGATAACTGACCTTCTTGAATCCCAGAATATCCTGATGACACATTATATTGTTAAGCTTTACGCTTCTAGTTGCAAATTGGGTTTTTTGATTGAAGATTAATTAAATAAATCTCATATTTTTTTAAATACATATTAGCATCTATTTTTACAAATTATAGACAAAATCCTCACTGCAACAACTTTTTATCATTTAAATTCAAATAGTGGACCCTTCGCACACATAAAAGGTTTCAGACAGACAAGGCAAGTCGTACCATCCGTTGAGCCTTTAAGTTTTTGCATTTTAACAAATAATTAACTTGATCGTGAAGATGGAAAAAATATATTTACCAATAAATCGCACATCTCTCTGTTGGATATTGCGCGGGCTCTCCCGGTTTCCATGACCGATAAGAAACGTTTACTCCGTTCGCCCAGTGGTCATAAAACGTCTCATTTTGGCAATTCAATGACATCCAAACATAATGCGATTCAAGACCTGGAAGTTAATTAAACGTTAAATTGCAATTATGACCATATATATTTAAACAAATTTCCTTGGCCATTGATCATCATGCGAAGACAAAAGTCCTCTTCTGGCGTTTCAGCACTTGTAAGATCCATACCCTGGCTTAAACAATCCTGGCGGGCAGCAAACCAAGTTTTCTTCAAAAAAGGAAAGGAAAGAAATAAGAAATATGATTATAGAAAAAAAATTAGGGATATACTGCGACTTGATATAGGATGTATTTTGAAGTGGCTTGAATTAATGAATTTAATGAATATATCTCATATTTCTTCATTTAATCTATCACTTGCTGGGCAGGTTTTTGAGGAAGTGGTGATAGTTTTCGACTCCTCACATGCAAAAAAGTTGATATTTGTGCATATTTGATTTTTCCACTTCCCACCACTGTAAAGAAAAATGAAATAAACCACACGTTGAATTAAAAGTTGTATAAATAATTACGAAGCTGACACGCAGAATTCTTTTGTTAAGGAGGTCGGATAGCCACTTGCCCACTGTATGTACGATAGAGCGTTTTTATTCACCCACGTGAATGAACTCTGCGCAATGGAACTAATGCCAATCCAAAACGTGTCCTGGGCTCTACCTAAATTTGAAAATTCAATAAGTTTTATAGAAATAAAGATTAACTACCTTGATTTTGCAAATAAGTTGAAAAACACGCGTCTTTTGACTGAGAATCAATAACGACTAAATCCATTCCCATTCTATTACAATCCAACCGGGCACTTTCCCAGGTAGTCTGGTCAATTAAATATGCCAAGTTAATGAAGTAAATTAGAAGTGAATCGATTCACTTACATAAACATTGGAAATATTAAAAGCTAAAAATTTACATGTAATTTTAAAATTATAAAGCTTCAATTATTTCCTCTTACTTGGACAAGGTGTTGTAGTGGTTGTAGTTGTCGTCGTGGTTGTACTGGTTGTTGATGTTGTGGTCGTGGTACTTGTGGTAGATGTTGAAGTGGTTGTCTCTGGGGTTGTGCTTGTGCTCTCTTTAATTTAGAATTCAGTTCATTGCGATATTATATTTTTCATAATTCTTAGGCCAGTTACAGAACTTGCATTAATAAATTCACCAAAAAAAGATTTATTAATTCCATAATATATAAAATTTCCTTTAGATTTTAACTCAAACCAATTTATTTTAAATCAAATAAACCTTTTATAAGTTATTTTGTTGCAAACCTATTTCATATCATATTACCTGTAGTTTGAGGTGTCGTTTCAGCAGACGTGGATATAATTTCAGTTTGAACTTCAGTGGTTAATGCGACGGGGTCTGTTGGAACACTTGTATCAATAATTGTTGATATCTCTTCACTCAAGGTAGTTGCAGGTTCTTGTGTCGTTGGTTCCTCAGTATTTGTAGTCGTCCCAGGATCCCTATTTGTTTGGTCAAATTTTAAAGTAATTATTATTAAATTACAAATACGTCGATGGCTCATTTGTAGATTCTAACTGTCCAGTTACCACTTTTACTGTAGTCGGATTTTTAACAGAAGTTTTAAATGGCGTAGTTGATGGTGACTTCCGCTTGCGACCTACGCTGCAGCTATTATGGCCACAGCATTTGATAATTTCCCGTCGTCGATGCACCTTTGAAAATTTTAAAACCAATTTTCCATATCGCTTTACTCTAAACAACTCCCTAGACTGACTCTCTTCTCCAGTTTCTATAAATGGATTGGTTTTTAAAAGGGAAAGAAAAATAAACTTTAAATTAAATTTTATTACCATTGCCATTTACAGTGTCACAATCACCAACCGAAATGGTCAGTGTATAAAATGCTATGAAAATAACCTGTCAAGAGAAAAAGATGTTTTTTTTTTTATTATTATTTCTTCAAATTAAGGAAAATATTGAGCTTTTTTGAATGGAACTTACAAAATAAGCAAGACTTATTTGTGCCATCGAAACGTTGTTATCCATTCGAGTTTAATTTTCAACTGTTGACGTGCAAGCACTTCCGAATAAGCTCCCATAACTTGCTCACATGATCACATCCGTTTACAACGCAATAATACTGGTTCAGCCTCATTCCGTGCTAACTTTTAAGTTCATACTTTGATTACCTTATTAAGAGTAAAATATTTTTGAAAAATTCTGCCCTGAACGTATCAAATGCGGAATAATTTATATATTTTGTTTTTAAATTTTAAATCATGAACAAGAAATTATTTTGAGTTATATAAACTTATTCATATTTTATTATTTTAAACATTTCAAATTATATGGTTGGCTGCGTTTGAACGGGAAATGACAAACGACTTTGACTTATGAAAATTCGTCAGCTCGGAACAATCAATTTTGATTACAGAGACTTATTGCCGGCTTGTTTTGCTTGGTTTTGACGCGAGATTCACTACAAGATGATGGCACGGGCAAGGGTTGCGCGCGTTATTAAGGCGAACCTCTCGACCCGCCGCCACAACGGGCTTTGTGTGGATTTATTATTCGACTCGGCACAGGCAGGTGAAAAAGACGAACGGGGGCAGATGATGTTAATTTAAATAATGACTTTTCACTCACCTAATAATGATGAATCAACATCTTTCAACAACCCTTTACATTAATAGACTACCACGAACGCGAAGCTTAATATGCATCAAGCCACGGCGATGAAGTGAGTGAGCGAGATAAACTTGACTAAATGGAGATAAATGTAAACAGCGAGAGAGCGCTGACACAAGCGCCAAACTAAATTAAGAACAACGACATTTGGTGAATATTTTTAAATCTGTGTTCTTTGAAAAAACAAAATAAAGCAACAACTTAATTTAATATGAATTATTATCTTAAACAAAATGTAATTCAAATTATTTTTCTAATTTACAAAATGAGAATGAAAGTAAATAATTTATTCCTGTTACTCTTGAAAGTTTATGTTTGAAAGGGGTAGCAAAGATTTGCGGGGGATTTCTGCCACTCGCAAATGGGGAAAATTATTTAAGCTGATTATTCGGAGAGTGAATTTGAATGTGCGAGTCCACCCCTTCAGCTACTGAACGATTTGAATATTAAGTCAAATTCTGCATTAATGCTTTTAGCGGGAGAAGATTCTCTCCATCTCGTCAGTTTTGGTTTCTTAAAACTGAAAACGTGCTAATGGAAGCGGAGAAGAATGCAAAAAGGAAAGATAATATTGCGTATTCATTTTTAATTCACGGTGATTTTAATACTTTGGTGCCGGAGTTTTTAAATTGTCAACCAGGCAGAGAAATATGAGGGCGTAATTGAAGAGTAATTGCCGCCTAAGTGGAACAGAAGTTCCAAGAAAAGCGCTTTTTCAGCGGAACCTGAACAGCTCGAAGCTTGTTAAATTTATATCTGCTAACAGCCAGCGTTTTATTAACGTTGTGTGGCGCCTAAAGGCGTGGGAAATGTGAGGTAAATCACGAGAGGAAGAATTAAATCGAGGCTGCTGCTCCTGAGCGCCTATCACAACGCAAATTCCTCTCCATATAAAGCTAAAGCTTCTGCTGCGGAGACACGACCACTGATAAAAAGCCCCTCTGCTCTGATAATGAGGCTCGAAGACAAAAGAGCAGCTCTGTAGTATAAAAAAACATGCTAGAAAATCAGTTTTACTTTTTAATAATAACTTATTTGTGTTTTTTAATACACAAATAAAAATAAGTTCCTGCGCAACTCAAAGTGGGAATAAGTCCGTGGAGCTTTGCTTTGGCTGCCGTGCCGTTGACTTAATTCAATTGCTCAGCTCATCTCGCAACTTTTAACTCGATTAGTTTGGCAACAAGGTTATCGGAATGCTGAAAAGCTCGGCTTGGTTGTTCGCATCTACAAAAGCTCTTAAAACTTGACGTCACTCAACTCGCTCGCCAATCAAATTCCAAATCTTATTTGTAACACTGTGTTAGATTCTAATGAATCTCAACGCACCATTGTCACCGTGGAAAAATTTCTAAAAATTTTCTTGCCAAAATATAAATATAGCCATTATTAAAAAAAATTGACAACTTCCGAAGCAAATAGGAATCAGTAAGACTTAATCAAACAGGAACTTGAATATTGCATGTGTATTAGTAAGGTCATTTTTTTAATGTAATTAATTAGGTCAAAAGTTATTAATTTGGTAAAAAGAGCTATATTAAAAATTAAATTTCATAACATAAAATTAAATAAATGTAAATCATAACACTGTAAAAATTATTTTGATCATTAGAGTAATTTTAGTCAACGTAACATTCTATTAATGAATAAATGATTCTGAAGAGTTCAAATGAGGCCAAAAGCTGGCTACCGAAAATTTTAAATGTAAAATTTCTATGATAATAACACACACGGATTGTCTGGACGTTTTGAATTACGAGCGACAGGCGCTACGAGATGACTTACTGGTCTTGATTTGCATATAATTAGACGGACAGATCGATTGTGTGCGCGCATTTCACGGCGAAGAGCTCAAAAGTATTTCAATATATAAATTTTCTTGTCGCCGTATGCAGCAAAGCGATATCCCCGGCACAGCGTTTGACATTAAAATATCATAGTATAATAATAATTCCACGTCGGGCTCGGGGATAATTTATTGCGTTCTTATCGTGCTCGGAGCGGAAAATGATAATTTCGCCGGCTCGCTGCTTCATTTCGTCGGAATCAGAGAATGAATACCGGAGCAGCTCTCTTGTAATTCAAAGCAATTTGTTTTTATTACATAAAATATAATATAACAGCGGTTAATTCAGCAGTAGCGCATTTTTTGTTTTGCTAGGCCATCTCAAGCGGGAGCTGTGGTGAAGGTTAAAAAACGTTTAGCAGACCTTTATTTAAGGAGGCAACCTTTTTTTGTAATAATCTCAGGCAATTTAGAGGAGAGAAGGAAAAAACGTGAAAAGGTGCTGCAACTCGGTCCTTACGTTATTCAGCACTACTTGCAAGTGGATAGAATTGAGCGGCAGCAATCAATCAAAAGTGGGAAAAATTTATTTTGTGTAAAGGGTCCATTATTGTTTTCTTCTCTCGATTTAATCAACTGAGCGGGAGAGGATTTCTTATTAGGTAAATTATATATACAGGTATACGGAAGGGATTGGAAATATTTTTCTCCAATCTTATCCAATCCAACTGCTTATGAAAAAAATTTTATATATAATTTTGAGCCTCTTCTAACATTTTATTTATGATAAAGCTTCCACTTCCGCTCCAATCTTCTCAAGAAATTATATATTTTTACATTAAATTTTTTTTAACATTCGGTGAAAAAGTTACCAATTTAATTTAAAAAGAAAATAAATTTCTTTCTCCGTAGATTCTCCTGAGCCGCTCGCAATGGTCATGTTTTTCATGCGGGCAACACGCGGCTTTGTGATAAAGCAATTTAAACACGCCTGTTTACGAGGTGTTGATAACGGAGGTGGAGCCCTGTTGCCCCAGAACAGCAGCAGTCCCGCCGTTTAGAAATAGGAACGAAATGCAACTCGAAGGTTGATAGGCCGATAATTCCGAGACGTGCTCTGTTTTTTGGCATGATTCACGGGCGCGAGTCACGAGCCACGGTTTCACAGCCTAATCGACAAATTGGCCACTCGATAACAACTAATCTAATTAGCTATGCACCAAAAAAGCGTCCGACTTCTAAAACGGTTTGTTTAATTCACAACACAAACATATTTGTTATAATTTTAAGAATTTAAAAAATGTGATCACCTAGATCATAAATTAATTAAGAAGGGAAATCAGTCAAATAATTGTACATTTATTAAATAAAATAATGAAGTTGAAGTTGCATTTTTTAAAAGTTACATTGTATATTTACTTATACATGCCAAATTTACATTGCCATTGAATTAAAAATTTAATTATTACCAATTAAATATATTGATAAAATAATATTTTTTTTTTTTTATTGAAAATAAATTACTTTGAAACATTTTAAAATTTAATTTACAATTAATTATTTTAGTTTTCAAATTTTTCAATCTTTATTTATCCATGCATTATTCTGAGTAAAAATTTAGTTTTTTTTAACAGTTCTAACTAAAAAAATTAAATATTTTATAGTAAAAACTATTTTTGGACTACCAAAAGTTAATCAATTAATCAAAATTGGTAATGAAATCAAGATAATTTCAGATGAATTTATTTTTCAAATATATACCCAGTATGTGGAGAATTACAGAAAAAATTTAATAGTGTGCGCAAATTCCGGTTTTACATTGGGAAGCCTTTTTGCACTAGCAAGTACCAGGTGCTCCAGTAAAATTTATTGACACTCGAATCGTCTGACGTGGAAATTTGTACAATTTATTGCCTCTTCCTTTTGCGATCATCCTGCGGTCGGATAATAATTATACAAGAGAAATAAAGAGCAGGGCCAATTTTTGTGTTTCTCCCCGAACGGCAACTTCCTTTCCTTACAATGAACTGCAGATGCTTTTTTTTTATTTCGCTCTCAATAAGAAGTTACTCAAAAGCATTAATCTTTTAATTTCAAGGCGTCGGCCATATTCCGCGATAAAATTGAAAGATTTATTATTGGCGCGGCGCGTATTGAATGAGGAGAATCATCAAATTGGTAGCATCACTAATCGCAACATTCTTTTCTTCTCATTTTTTCCCATTAACTCGGAATAATGGAAAGACGCTGTGTTTGATTTTTTTCTCCTAGGTGGCCTGTGCAAAACACACACAAAGAAATCGAAAAATTGGAACTTCCTTTTTTATCCGGTGGGCAATTTTGTTGTGAAGACGGACATGTTATATTTTTCAAATGGCGTGTCTCGGATCGGTGTTGGCCGATTACAAGTGGCGAATAAAATGTTGGCGCTGTCAACAATTTGAATTCTCGACTGAGCGTGAGATAACCTTTCAAATGTTTCATTTTGCGTGCGTGCTCGAATTGGTCCGAGATAAAAATCAAGCGGAGAGAGCAATTAGCCTGACAGAGGTCTATTATTTCCCGTCTAAT